GTAGTAAAACCTGACAGAGTCTTGAGGGACGTCTGTGAGAGCGATCGGTGTTTACAGCCGTGTTTCTGACCCTCATCTTCATCTTCATCAGTGTCTTCACTCTTCTGATAAATGACCACCAGCGTGGAATCAGAAAACACTCTCATCAGTGCAAATAAACTGAGGATTTATGGTCACGACTCCAAAAATCTCCTTTTGTGCACAAAATACATATTAATATGATATATATTTATTGTAATTTTTTATAATTATATTTTTATCAAATTTATTTTTTTTATTTATATATGTTTACATGTATAAATGTATTTATTTATTTCCAGGCCATGATAATTAATATCTTAAAATAGATTTAAAATAGTTTTCCTAAATATAAATCGTCCTTTCAGTTTAGGATGTGCAGAAATACATTTATAAAAAAATATTGTAAGATTAATGTTACTTGCAACACTGTTGCATTATGTTGCTACATTTAGCTCATCATATTTCTGACTGGTTTTAGATCAAGCATTACAATAACATCTGAATCTTGGCTGCTGATTGGTCAGTATTAGAGCACTCAACATCAGTAACAATGTTACATTATTATTATTAGTTTTTGTAATAAACTAGTTCTAGTGAGTTTATTTGTTTTATTTGATGGCTAACATAATGGTTTATGCTTTTTATTAAAGCTTCAAATCATACATTGTAATATTTCTGAACTCAGTATAGTACTAGTACTTAAATGTGATTTATATTTTTTAAAGTAGACTCCTGTAAAAGAGATTTTTAATCTCAGTGAGGTTCTTTCCTGGTTAAAGCTGCAGTCCATAACTTTTTTGTGTTCAAAATTAACTAAATTTATATAATATGCGAGTACACCATGAATCCATTTTCCAAACCGTGTTTTTGGCTCGTCCTGAATCACTACAGTACACCTATAATAAGTGTTTATATTCGGACTATTTTAGGCTGGCTCGGGTAGGTACCGCTGCGGAGTAACACATACCTGCGTGATGCGCCATAGACATAAACACAGAGAAGTAGCTCCGGCTACAATGTTCTTCCGCAAAACGCACGCAGTTCTGTTTATTAACCGCTAGAGCGCCAAAAGTTACATGGTGCTGCTTTAAATAAAGGCTTAATAATAAAAAGAATCTGACTTAAAGAATTAATATTTTCCCTCAATGTGTTGAGATGCTGAGATCACAGTTTTATAAATAAAAAATAAAAATTTAACAGTTTGCTCATTTTGTACAATCTGAGGCACATTGAATTAAACAGACTTTTATATCAAATAACAACTGCTGATTAATTAATTAATTACATTTTTTTTAACTGAAGGGAGAAATAAGTACCGAACAAAGCATAGCATGAAATAATAATATCATAATATTTTAAACATATTAATTTTTTAAAAACAATTTCAAAGAAGACATAAAACAATCAAATTCAACAATAAACAACAAACAATGGGGATGAATTATCAGTCACAGCACTGACGTCATCCGTTCATCCGGGTCTCCAGGGGGCGCCTCTTTCCCGCTCATATGAGCGCTTGAATGCGGCGTCCGGTAAAACGCGGACTGGATAATAATCTGCATATTGAGGTAAAAATGACTTTGTTTAACTGACAAACTAAACCGAGATTTGTAATAGAATATTAGCGGAATAACCAATGACATCTTTAAGTTACACGTTGAAATGTTGTTTAGATTTAAACTAACGGAATTAAAAAAACAAAGTCCGGATCCGACTGAAGAGAAACTCCAGTCCGGGTTTAACGGTCGTTACTGTGAGCGGAAGCGCTCGAGTGTAAACACAGCATTCACAGCGCAGGTAAACACGAGTTATCTTTAAAACTTCTGCTTCACGCTGTTAAAAACTTTAGTAAAGTGGGTTGCTGAAGTCTGTGTTCAGTTCTCAGGAGATTCTAACAAAGAGAGCGAACAGCTCCGAGTCTGTTTATCGTGTTAGTCGAGTGTCACATCGTGTTTCTGTCAGTTTCGCGTGTTTTGTGAGTGGAATCTCTTCAGCTGTGTTTCAGTGGCATGGAGAGTTACGAAGATTTCATCCGGAGCCGCTATAACACTCATAATGATGAAGATGAAGATGAACCCGTCACACCTTCATCAGTGATCGTGTTTCGTGGAGCTCGTGTTCTTCCTCCTCTGGTAAGAGTATCATCCTCATCCTCATCATCTCATTATATATGCAGGTATGTTAATGAGTGTGTGTTTATCAGCTTAATGAGCAGCAGCGAGACGAGATGAGACGACTGAGAGAAGCAGCTGTGAGTCTGATGATGATGAAGAGGAGGAGAGAGGAAGAGTCTCGCATCAGCGTGAGTTTGCTTTATCATAGACATGAACTGATACTGTTTATGTTTATATAACGTGCTTCACCTCAGCTGTTGTCATTATTCCCTCTGATTTATCTATAACCTTCATATAGAGACTCTTTACACCATCCAAATATAATAAATCCCAGCATGCACTGCACAAAGTGACAAATATTTTAACATCCTTAAAGGATTAGTTCACTTCCAGAATAAAAATCTCCTGATGGTTTACTCACTCGAGATGTTCACGTCTTGTTGTCTTCAGTCGCAAAGAAATGAAGGTTTTTGAGGAAAAGGTTCCAGGATTTTTCTCCGTATAATGGACTTCAATGGAGACCAACTGAAGATCAAACCAGTTTCAGAGCCGCTTCAAAGAGCTCTACAGCGTGATTACGTGTTTGTCTCCATTGAAGTCCATTATATGGGGAAAAATCCTGGAACCTTTTCCTCAAAAACCTTCATTTCTTTGCGACTGAACATCTCGGATGACATGGGGGCGAGTAAATTATCAGGAGATTTTTATTCTGGAAGTGAACTACATCTTTAAGATTAGAATTCTTGTTTTCTGAGAAATTGATAAAGTGACGTGTAGCGTCCCATACTTGGAATTTGTGCTCTGCTTTTACCCCATCAAAGTGCGCACACACACACAGCAGTGAGTAGTGAACACACACACACTCTCACACACACTCTCACACTCACTCTCTCACACTCACTCTCTCACACTCACTCTCTCACACTCACTCTCACTCACACACACACTCACT